GGTTAAAAAAAGACGTCTGTAGCAACATAAGGATGTTGAAGACTAATGTGCTAATAAACACATTTAAATCCTGATGAAGTAAAGTTCAGGTTTCAGGGGTTTTTCTTTGTATCATTTTGAAAGTGAAAGTGACATTTTTTGGGTGAAAATCATTTGTCTTCCTGTGCAAATCAACATCTAATGTCCATTACATGACTACTGCATGACATGTCATTTCACAGCACACATGCAGTCGAAAGGAATGGCAGCGTGTGAGGAGCAACAAGTCAGGCTGCCCTCTCTCTCTCTCTCTCTCTCTCTCTCTCTCCCTCTGTCTCTGTCTCTGTGTCTCTCTGCAGCCATGGTGGCGATGATTAGATATGCCTGCCAACAGGGCCCTGTCTCTGAGCACTAATCAAAAAAGGAAATGTAAGGCCAGACTTCCCACCATCACAAAAACAACTGTGTGTAACAGACAGACAGAGAGCGGCCCGACTCAGTAAACGATGCACTGAGGGGCAGGCGGGGAGGGAGGGAGAGATCCAAACATAGTTGTTCCCCCAGGAGAAGGAGGCTAGTTGAATTAGAACACCTCCAGAATGGAGAAATTCCACGGTTCAGCGGCCCAGCTCTGCCCCAGGGCTCGGCGTCCGTGGAGGCAGGAGGGCTGTGCACCAACTTTAAAAAGGGGACGTCACTGCTGAGCTGTGACCTCACTGTGTCTGACCAATGGGCTACTGCGGCTACAGCCTGACACAAAAAACAACTAAATGCAGCAGAAAGATGTGTCAATTTCCCCTCTTTTCTTTACAGCTGAGATAAGCAACACCGTAAGCTGCATGATACTGTTTGTCAAGTGGTGGGTCAGGACCCAAAAGTGGGTCAGGAGGCTATATTTGGTGAGTGCTGAGCTGAGCTTTTCTCTCCTGTAAGTCGCTGTCCTCACCTCACTTTGTTTGGGCACAAAATAAACTCTTCTGCAAGAATAAATAAATAAAAATTCTACAATGACACTGTTTCTCAGAATAACACAGGCAGTGTGTTATAACTGGGGATAAAGAAATCTCCCAGGTGCCCCAGGCTCTGAGTTCTCAGTGGGAACTAATATCCAATCTGTCTGCAAAAATCTCAATTTAACAAGAGCAGATTCCT